TTGCTCCGTAGAGCTAGGTAGATTAGCTTATATCTAGTGATAAGTGTTAGGAATACCGCCGGTTTTTCTCAAGTGACAAGATGGCGGAAGAGTTGGTGGACGTTTAACAGAAGTTTGCTCTTTCAGAGAAGGAGGTGGGGAGTACACTCCTGGATCTGGGGGATAAATGAAGAGATAACAGAATGTCAGGGTAGTATCATAGGAAGAATAAGAGGGGAAAAGATAGCTAATTTTACAGGAGTTAAAAATTTTGCTGCTGTGGCTTGGAGCTACTCTAAAGGGCTTAAGGTGGCTGAACTTGGACCAAATTTGTTCCAATTTACTATCCCTGACCCCAAGGATAAAGAACGGATTCTAGCAGGTGGACCTTGGATTATAGACAACTAGATTTTGGTGCTCAGAAATTGGGAGATGGGAATTGAGGAGGATGAAGATGCTTTTAGTATAGCCTCGGTTTGGGTGCAAGTGTGGGATCTTCCCATACACTGCCCGTCTAAGGTTGTAGGGAAGAAAGTTGGAATAATTTTTAATGAGGTCAAGGATGTCTTGATTCCATATACTGGAGGTAAGGAAGGGAGACATATGAAGTTATTAGTACTGATAGACATTAAACAGCCTTTACTGAGAGGAACCACAGTACAGATGAATAGAGTGAATAAATGGCTGTCCTTTAAATATGAGAAGTGCCCTGACTTCTGCTATAGCTGTGGTATCATTGGACATAGTGAAAAGAACTGTAAGGCTCCTATGTTGGTGAAAAAAGGGCAATATCAGAACCAATATGGTCCGTGGATGAGGATGTTAGGTGGGAGAGGTTCTCCTAAAAAAGAAACCAGTCCAAAGATTTGGACACCACACAAACAGGTGTGGAAGGTGAGGAATGGGGAGATGATCAGGATAGAGGAATTAATGAATCAGGATAAAGGATTAGGTTCGAATCAGGAAATTGGATCAAGCAAGTCGAGTAAAGTACTGAGGAATGAGCTTCAGAAACAAGTGGTAGAGAAGGGAAGTTTACCTATGGTAGAAAGGGAGAAGATAGGCAGGATAATCCCTAGATAGAGTTCTGAGGTTCCTATGGAGGAGGAGCAAGGGAACGGGAATGGAAGAAACCTTAGTACAGGTATGGAAGAAGTAGGAGTTATGGAGGTCAGAAATGCTAAAACTACTGATACCTTTGGCACGAGGAGAACAAAGAGGGACAAGGAGTACAAAGCAGGGAGATGGACTAGAAGGATGGGAGGATAGGAGGAATAGAAGAAGGGGTACAAGGAAGGTCCAGTGTTGGTGAAGAGATAATGAGTATGGAAACTGATGAGACCAACAACAAAGAAAATCAGGGAGGTCACAGGAAAGAAGGGAAGAGATTCAGGAGAGTGACATCTGGTCCAAGAGAGTTAAGATCTCCACTGAAGGAGATTAATGGGACAAAAAGGAAGTTTCAACTTAGAGATGAAGAAATGAAAGAAGCTAAGGAACAGGATCATATAGATAAAAAATATAGGGGAGATTTGGCTGTGGAGAACTGCAATGAGATGCACATAGGGGAAGGGATCAACCCTCACTGGTCCCCAAAGGACCAATAAAAGATATGGTGTGGAATTGCCAAGATGCAGGGAGCCCCTTGACAATTCCCCATCTGAAGGAGGATAACAGTCTTCTCTCCCTGAATATGATTTTTCTGAGTGAGACCAAGAACAAGGCTAAATACATGGAGAAGATTAAAAGGATTCTGAACTTTGATAATTGTGTGATAGATGCTATGAATAGGTCTGGGGGTATGACTTGATGTGGAATGAGGAGACCAAAGTTAAAGACATTAAACAGTCAGCTTTCACAATTAAAGTGTTGATTGAGGATAAAGAAGTGAAACAGGAGTGGTGACTAATAGGGATATATGCCAGTTGCGACAACCAAATGAGGAAAGGACAGTGGGAAGTTATCAGTAGAAGGAAAGATATGTGAGGTGAAAACTGGTTAATAATGGGGGACTTTAATGATTTATGTTCAAACGAGAAGAAGTGGGGTGGCAGAATTAGGAAGGAATGGAGTTTCCATGATTTCAGGAATTTCATCCAGGAGAATCAGATGATAGATATTGGTTTTGAAGGTAACCCCTAGACTTGGTGTAATCAGTGGCAAAATGGAGAAATAAAACAAAGGCTGGATAGGGGTCGTAGCAGTGGAGGATGGAATAATTTGTTTGAACATCCTAAGTGCACTCATCTAGAAAGCTTAGCCACTGACCACAGTATGTTGATACTGGACACAATTCCAGGGGAAAGAAAGAAGAGGAAAAAAAATTCTTTTTTGACAAAAGATGGATTCAGAGAGAAGGCATTGGAGAAGTGATAAAGAAAGCTTGAAGGAGGATATCAGGGGATCTAGGATGTTTAGGGTAGTGAATAAGATTAAGAGGTGTAGAGTTGCTTTGCTGAAGTGGAGAAATGGATTAATTGAGAACTCTAGGAAAAGGATTTTGAACCTGAAGCAACAACTGATCAAGGAGAAAAGTTCAGATAATGAAGGAAGAAAGGGGGAGTTGCAGCTCTAAAAAACCAGCTGGTGGGAGCTTTCAAAAAGGAGGAGCAATACTGGAGTCAAAAAGCTAGGTTAAGTTGGTTACAGGAAGGAGACAAGAACACTAAATACTTCCATGCTGTGGTGAAGGGGAGAAGGAAAAGAAATAAGATAGGAAATTTGCAGAGAGAGGATGGTTCTTGGACTACAAATGACAAGGAGATTGCAGAAGAAGTGGCTAGTTACTATAAGCAGCTTTTTAAGTCAACTAGGACAGATTGTCTGGAGGAGATATTGGATGGTATTCCTAGTACTATTACTGACCAGATGAATGATAATCTTATTAGGCCTGTGGAGGAAAATGAAATAAAGGTAGCAGTTTTCTCTATGAATCGCAATAAGGCCCCTGGGTCTGATTGGATGACACCCCTCTTCTTCCAAAAATTCTGGATTACCATTAAGGAGGAGGTGGTGAAAGCAATCAAGTCCTTTTAGTCTGGTCATATGCTCAAATCTCTGAACCACACCATCATCTCTCTCATTCCTAAGGTAGATTTGGCTACTGATCTGAAACATTACAGGCCAATTAGTCTTTGCAATGTAATCTACAAAGTCATCTCCAAAATTCTAGCTAATAGGTTGAAACTTATCCTTGAACACTGTATCAGCAAAAACCAATCAGCCTTCATTCCAAACAGACAGATTTTGGACAACATAATTGATACGGTCCTCGATCAACGTGTTTCGAGACACGTAGCATGTTTGCCTAAGGATCTAGTGAGGTTGTCCTACGCTTGGATTGCGGGACCTTAAATCAACACAGACGACACGAGTTGGTTTAAAGTGGTAGAACGACGACTCCAATGAAGGTGATTACTCCAAGGGATAGGTCGGAAGAATAATCATGGACAAGACGCAAGATTGCTCAATAACCCTTGCCAAGCAAGTGGAAGGCTCGAAACTCTCTCTTAGAGGTAGAATCGAAATAAAGGAAAAACTTTATTCATCAAACTTGTGTTTAGACCTTACAAAGCTACCATTTTTATAGGCTAAAGGTAACAAGAAAAAACCCTAAGAAACCCTAAGAGAGCAGTCGGCCGTCTTGACACCAAGATGGGCCGGCCCATGCTTCTACTAAGCAACTAATCCAATCTAATAAGTATTAAAGGCTAAGACCCTACCCGGCCGACTCACGTGGAAGCCCACTTGATTCTTCATGGGCTTGGATCAAAGTGTAGATTACTTGATTGTCTCTTTTCAAGCCTTCAATATCTCTATGGACTCCATGTTGGTCTTGGACAATTCGAACAAGGGTTTGGAGGGATTCTTTGAAGAGCTTGGCCCGTGCACGTGTGACTGGGCCCAATAGAACTCGGATTGGGTCATTATGTGGGCTAAGATCTGTGCACACATCAGTCCCCTTCTCTTGAGAAGGATTTGCCCTCAAATCTGGATCCTCCTCGTCAAGAAATGGGCTCAGGTCCGCTACATTGAAAGTCGCACTCACATTGTACTCCCCAGGTAGCTCCAATTTGTAGACATTGTCATTGACTCTTTGGAGTACGTGAAAAAGGTCCATCACCCCGTAGGGACAACTTGCTTTGACGCTGCTTAGGAAACCTCTCTTTCCTCAGGTGTAGCCAGACCCAATCTCCAGACTCAAAGATCATCTTACGACGGTGCTTGTTGGCCTGCTGGATGTATTGCTGGGTGCGTTTCTCAATGTTCACCCGAATGGCTTCATGTAACCTACGCACAAAATCAGCTTTCTTTTTTCCATCTAAACTGGTTTGCTCAGAGAAAGGTAATGGTGCCAAATCAAGGGGGGTCAGTGGGTTAAAGCCATAAACAATCTCAAACGGTGAGTAGTGTGTAGCACTGTGAACAGTTCAATTGTAGGCAAATTCAACATGCGGCAAGCACTCTTCCCAAGATTTAAGATTCTTTTTAATTAAGGCTCGAAGTAGAGTACCAAGTGTGCGATTGACAACTTCAGTTTGTCCATCGCTTTGTGGATGACTGGTGGTGGAGAATAATAACCTAGTGCCAAGTTTAGACCACAAAGTCTTCCAAAAGTAACTCAGAAATTTCACATCTCGATCACTAACAATGGTCCTAGGCATGCCATGCAGACGGACAATTTCTTTGAAGAACAAATTAGCAATATGAGATGCATCGTCAGTTTTGTGATAGGGAATAAAATGAGCCATCTTAGAGAATCTATCAACCACTACAAAGATGGAGTCATTACCCCTATGTGACCTAGGGAGTCCTAAGACAAAGTCCATGGACAAGTCTACCCAAGGATAGTGGGGAATAGGCAATGGGGTATACAAGCCGTACGGATTGGTTTTAGACTTTGCCTTATAACAAGTGACACATCTACTAACTATGCGCTCAATATCTCGACGCATGTGAGGCCAGTAAAAATGCTCTTGTAATATGGCTAGAGTCTTAACCATGCCAAAATGTGAATAACAATGGAACTCGGACTGGGACAATTTGAACAAGGTGCACAATTCATGCACAATTCGAACTTGGAGGGATTGGAGGGATTACTAAGTGATATGTGCACGGATCTTGGCCCACGCAATGACCCAGTTCGAGTACCATTGGGCCCAGTCACACATGCACAGACTAAGCAATTTAAGGAATCACTCCAAGCCCTTGTGCAGAATGTTCAAAACCAACAAGGAGTTTATCGAGACATTGAAGGCTTGGAAGGTGATAACCTAGTTGTTTACACGATGATCCAAGCCCGTGAAGAGAGCCCATGAAGAGCCAAGTGGGCCATGGCCGATTAGGCCTTAGTGTTAGGAGTCTTAAATTTAGATTAGCCCTTTTTGTTAGCCATGGATTCGGCCCACCTTTGTCTAAGGATGGCCGAACCACTAGGCCCTTTTTTATTGAGTCCATGGATTGGCCTACCTTGTTCAAGAAGTGGCTGACCATCTAGCTTTTAGATATTAGGGTTTCGGATATTAGGGTTTCATTAGTTTTGCCTATATAAAGGCTTGCTTTGTAAGCATTAAGGGGGACGTTTTATCAATAAAGTTTGATTATTTTAGAGATTCGAACCTTTTACTTGCTTTGGCAAGGGTTATTGAGCAATCTTGCGTCTTATCCTAGATTGTTCTACCGACCTATCCATTAGAGTAATCACCTCTGTGGAGTCGTCGTTCTACCGTCTTTAATCAAATTGTGTCGTCCATTTGATTCTAGGTTCCGCAATCCAAGCGTTGGATTGCCTTGCTAGATCCTTGGGCAAACGTGCTACGTGTCTCGAAACAAGTTGATCGAGGAACGTATCACTAAGTGGGCTAAGGATTAGCAAACAAAGACCAGCAATCACGCATCTATTCTTTGCTAATGACACCCTGATTTTCTGTAAAGCTGTGGGGAAAGAAACAAGGAAGTTAAGAGAAATCCTGGTTCAGTATGAAAGAGGGTCTGGTCAGGTGATTAATCTAGAGAAATCTTCTATCTGTTTCAGTAAGAACACTAAGAAAAGGGATAAGGAGGAGACCTATGAACCACTACCAGGTGTAAGGATAGTGAATCAAGGGAAATACTTGGGCCTTCCAATGGTGATTACAAAGACAAAAGGTCAGGTATTTGGATTCATAAAAGACAGCATCAAGATCAGACTAAACAGTTGGAAGAACAAGTTTCTAAGTGCAGCAGGCAAGGAGGTGATGTTAAAAGCTGTTACAATGGCTATGCCAAACTATGCTATGTCTTGCTTCAAGCTACCAACTAAATTATGCAAAGAAATCACAGGGTTGATGGCCAAATACTGGTGGGGTGGAGAAGCAAGATACATTGATGCTCTTGGGCCAAAATGATGAAGGCAAAAACTGGATGGAGGCTTGGGGTTCAGGAACTTGCAATGTTTCAACAAAACATTATTGGGAAAGTAGATCTGGAGGATGCTAAGATTTCTAAACCTCTTGGTCAGTAGAACACTAAAGGCTAAATACTATCCCAAGGACTCCATACTGAACTGTGAGATCCCCAAAAACTCATCTTGGTTCTGACAAAGCATTATGTCAGTAAGAGAAGTAGTTAAGGGGGGTATACTGAAGAGAGTTGGTTCAGGAAAAAGTATCAAAATATGGAAGGATCAATGGATCCCAAACAATCAAAATGGAAGGCCAACAACAAGGAAGCCAGACAGTTGGGAGGAGCACAAAGTGGAAGAATTGATCTCAGATTTCAGATGGAATAGGAATGTAATTTTCAGAAGGTTCAATAGAGAAGATGCTGAGAACATACTGAAGATACCTATTAGCCTTTCAAGGACAGGGGACAAGCACTTTTGGATACATAGCAAACACGGGGAGTACTCAATGAAGTCCTGTTATCAAGTTCTGCTAAAGGAAGAGAGGAGGAAAGAAGTAGAAGCAAAAGGGGAACCTGACTCTAGTTATGATGACTCCAACACACAAATTTGGAAAACTCTTTGGGGGCTGAACATCAAGCATAAGATCAAGCTATTCATCTGGAGGTGTATCACTAACACTTTTACAGCAAGGGAAACAATATTCAGAAGAATAAAACAAGGATCACCATTTTGCTCAAGATGTGGAGATAATATGGAAATAGTGGAACACATTTTGTTCCACTGTCCTTAGGCTCAGAAGGTATGGAAGCTTGCTCCAGTACAATGGGATGGTATCTGGAACCAAACAGGTTGTTTTAAGCAGTGGTAGGCAGCATTAGCTCAAGCCAGGAGTAGGAACGAAGGAAAGCAGCATATAGCCTTGATTGCTAACATACTTTGGCAATTATGGAAGGATAGGAATGAATTGGAATTTGAAGGAAAGGAGAGAGAAGGAATAAGAATTGTGCAAAAGGGCAGCACAGAGTGGATGGAGTTTGAGCGTAAAGGAAATGAAGAGAGAAGTACATCAAAAATAGATGCAGCAAATACAAGAGTAGGGGAGGAAGGAATGGAAGGAAGAGAGCTATTAGAACTTCAGATTGCTACAAAGAAATCAGCAAAGGGCCGTAAATTGGGAATTGGCATCATGGCCAAGCAGACTGGAGGGAGAATTAGAGCTGAAATGGGCTTTAGTGGACAGAAACTTGCTAATGGATATTCAAGATAAAGCTGTAGCAGTGAGGTTGGCACTAATGAAAGCAAGACAGCTGAGTTGGCAAAGGATCAAAGTCATAAATATCAACAAACGTCTTATTACCTTGCTAAAAACTGGGAAAGGAGACAATCCAAATATTGTCACGTTGGTGGAAGACATACATGCTTTAGCTAATGATGTGTGCATGGAGCTTAGCCCAAGTAACGATCTAGTTCGAGTTCCATTGGGCCCAGTCACACGTGCACGGACCAAGCGCTTCAAAGAGTCCCTTCAAGCTCTTGTGCGAAATGTTCAAGACCAATAAGGAGTCCATCGGGATATTGAAGGCTTGGAAGGTGATAATCAAGTTGTCTACATGAAGAATAGAACAGCACATCTATATCATAATGAAATGCTCAACATTACTGATCCAGATACTACACCCTCGGATACACCAGATGATGACTACCAGTGGGCCTGAAATGACATTGATGTGAAGCAGATTTTCCAAAGTTGGAAACTTTTAACAAGAATGGTTCCAGACATACCCCAAAAATCCAAAATATTTCCTCAACAGTCTTACCAAGTGGAGAAACTGTTCGCCCAAATCCCACAGAAGATGTTCTTAATTGGTAGACTGAGAATTCTCTTGTTCAAAACACTGCTCTTATTTCTATCCATAAGAACATCTCCGAAACCAAAGACAAGATTGAACAAATTGATACAACTGTATCAAACCAACAGTCTCAGGTTTCTCATATGATTGAAGTCTTTGAAAAAAGACTTCAAGAGCTTAAATACATCATGCCTACAGATCCTTCTATGCTAGTTGATTTCATTCTGAATAAAGAGAAAGAAACTAAATTTATTCAAGATCAACTACACATTCTCAAAACAACAGGACAAGTTCCTGTGTATGATGTAGGACCCTCAACACCTCTTTCCAAGGTAAGTTCTATGTATGGTGCAATACCCCTCAGAAACTGGCCGACACCTTTCTACTTCGGTGGAGTTTCTACTCCATCACCATCTCTTTATTTTTCTGAACAACAGCCACAGACCCCAAAACCTTTTGATATTGCAGCAACTTTACGAGAATATCGTAAAAACAAACAGATTCAAAAGGATGCCGAAATAGCAAAAAGAATGGCTGAAAAGGAACAAAGAAAAGTTGAGGCTGAAAGAGAAAGGAAAGCTAAGCAACCTGCTATTGAACAACCATCACCATCTCAGCAGGATCCTCCAACTTCATTAATGATTAGTACATACACTAATCCTACTTTTTCTGTTGAACAGGAAAGAAAAGCAAATGAAGCTACCAGAGTTTTTGACAATCCATTGTCAACAGCATTAGAAGAATTTCATGATAACTCAATTCCATATATCTCTACTTATACTGAAATTCATGATGATTCCTCTAAAAACACCAGTTCGGAAGAAGAAATTTCTTCTGACATTTCTGATTCATCAGAAAGCGAAACTGATTCTTCAAAATTTTCATCAGATGAAGAAACTATTCCTCATATCAACATGGCAGAACCAGAACCAGAAATAGTTGAGCCTGAGGAAGAACAAGAGCAGTCCCCACAGTATGACCAGCATCAACGTGCTTCTTTTCCAAAATCAAAGGGAGTACCTCTGTTTACTATTGACAATATCCCATCTGAAATGTGGGAAGCAAGATTCCAAGAATTTCATGCTTGGATGCTAGCTCAGAATTTAACAGAAGAATCTCACTTTGAAATTTTATCTGTTTTCACAGCTCATCTTGCAGGCATACTCAAAGATTGGTGGACATCCATTGGAGATGCAGACAAAATGACATTTTTAACCAGACAGGACTTTATGGAAAATGTTCATATTTTGCATCTTACATTTCTTGGAAATGTTCGAGAATTCCAAGAAACAAAGAGAAAAGAATTTTTCCAAATGAAATGTTTATTTTATGATCGACATGATCTAAATAAGCATTTCAAAAAGATGCTTCAATTATTTTACTCTCTTGGTGCAGATATTAATCTCAAACAACCTTTTGTCAGTTCTTTGCCAAAACCACTTGCAGATGGTGCAGAAATGTATATCCATAATAAATATGGATCAATCTTAAATCTCACCATTGGACAGATCAAGCAAGCAGTTTTTTTATCTCTTGATGATCTTTGTCACAAGAGAAAAGTGATTCGAGAATATCTCAAGGGAGACGTTTGCCTAGATCAAGCTTGCAAAAAGCCAGAATTGATAACAAAAGGAAAGTGTCAAGCTTGTACTCCATCCCACAGAAGAAAAGGATCCAGAAGGTTCAAAAGATTCAAAAGTTTTACCAAATCATACAAAAATTTTCCAAAGAAACCCTTCAGAAAGAAATGGAGATACTTTAGACGAAAGTCTAAGAAATTCCGGGGTAACAAAGGCAACAAATGCTTCATCTGCGGTAAGCCAGGACATTTTGCGAAAAATTGTCCTCAGAATCAAAATGGAGTAAAACTAATTTCAGAAATTCAGAATGAACTTCATTTCACTATATCTGATTTAGAATTTGAATTCTCTGAACAAGAGGAACCTACTGATACAACTTTTATGGCTTTGCAGGTTCCTGAAGAAATTTTAAGTATAAGCCCTATTGCATCCATCAATAAGGATAAGATTGAAAAGGATGTTTATCCACAAACTCTTATTCACATTCTTCTGGATAAATATTCTAAACCTATACCCCTTATTGCATTTTTTGATACAGGAGCTTATATTTCCATTATGAGGAAAGATATCTTACCAGACTCATTTTGGATCCCAGAAACAAATAAATTCTGAGCAGCTGATGGAAATATTTTTGAAACAAAGTTTATCACTAAAAATTCCATCACTCTCAAACTTCTCCCAGATTGCTGTGTCAGTTCAAAATTTTTGGGAGCAAATTTTACTGGTAAAGATTTAATAATAGGGTTTGATCTTTACAAACAAAACAAGTATCTTATTACAGGCCATGGGATAAAATCAAAAAAGTTTTTTAAACCTTTTATTGAAATCCCTAAACTGTATATGATACAAGAAGACAGTTTTCAAAAAGATCAACTACAGCAGATTCAGACCCAGATTGTGCAGGAATCATGCTCAACCAATCACCAGGACTTTTTTAAAAAATGCAACCATCCTTTGTGGGAAAACCCTGATTTTTATATCCGACTTCTTTTCAAAAAGAATGAAGATATAAATCCCACAAAAGCCAGTCATTCTGGTATGAATCCTGATGACACCAAACTTGCAGAACAAGAATGCCAAGAACTTCTAAAGTTCGGACTCATCGAGATTTCTCATTCCCAATGGGCATGTCAAGCATTCTATGTCAACAAAAGATCTGAACAGGTAAGAGGGAAAATGAGGCTGGTAATTAATTACCAACCCCTTAATATTTTCCTTCTAGATGACAAGTTCCCAATACCCAACAGATTTACTATTTTTTCCCAGATATCCAAAGCAAATTGGTTTTCAAAATTTGATTTAAAATCTGGATTCTGGCAGTTGGGAATTCATCCTGAGGATAGGCATAAAACTGGATTCTGTATTCCAAATTATCATTTCCAATGGAAGGTGATGCCTTTTGGTTTAAAAACCGCACCTTCACTTTTTCAAAAAGCAATGATAAAGATTTTCCAGCCTATCTTGCATTCAGCCTTGGTTTACATTGATGATATTCTTCTTTTCAGTAACACCTTTGAGGAACACCTCAAATTGCTTAAGGATTTTCATCATCTTGTTAAGCAATATGGGAT